TCAGCAGGTGGCAGAACTGTTCTAACATTTAGAGCTGTCCAAAAAATGGAGCAGGCTGCCTTACTTAAAGCAGTGAGCTCTCTGAAATTTGAACTGTGGAAGTACAAGTTGGAAGACCATTCTGCTGAAAAGTACAAGAGAGAATTCCTGCCCGCGCGAGAATTGGACTAATGACCTTTAAGGTGCCTTCCAGTTCTAAGGTTTCTGTGACTGTTGAGCTCAGTTAACTAGAGATTTGAATATCTGAATTGCTTTTGTAAACAAGTTTTTATTAGATAAATTGTCAATCCACTTAAAACCTGTGTGGTCATGTTGACAATAAATAAAATTTGATAAAATGAGGAGTGGGAAGTCATGTTTAAAAGTGAAAGTCCAGAGACCACTAAAGGCAATTAGAGAAACTTTTAACAGAGCATGAGTGTGTGTATTTCGAATGATGTGTCCTGGGCAAGTGACAGTTATCAAAAACATAAACGCTCTGAATTGTTTTACTTTACACGAATATTTGCTCAGGCGGGTTTTTCACATAGAGCAGTACAGTACGCGGAAGCGAGGGCCAGTGTGTGGGGAAGCACAATTTTCCAGAAGGCGCTTGGTGGTATTGCGGGCGCCCAGGACCGCCCCAGTCGGTAGCTGACCTGACCCGCCACGGCGTGTGAGGCCCCCGGGCCCGCGGGGCCGAACTACCAGTCCCAGGGGCTCTTGCGGCTCCGCGCACGCGCGGTGGCGTGGCGGCAGCGCCACCGCAGGACGCAGGGAAGCCAGCTAGCGAGTGGCGGCGGTAGCGGCGGCGGTGGCAGTTCGCGGCGAGGGCGACGGCTCCGAGGCCGAGTGGCGGTCGGGCGGTGGTCTCGGTTCCCTCTTCGGTATGATCGTCGTGGTGAGTGCGCGTCCCCCGTTAACCCGCGCCGGGCGCACGGCTCCTCGTCTGGCGACCGCGCTGCTCCGGCCTAGGGCCGCAGCCTGCGCCTGATGGCCGGCCGGGTCCAGCTGACCCCTGGGCCCTTCCCTCCAGTGTCGGGGGAAGTG